GTGGGTTTAAGGACCGACGGGCCGGGAGCCGGCGCTCCCGGCTTCGGGCAGCCCCTATGCCTCCGGACCCCAGCCACTGGCTGGGCACTTCTCCTCCCTGGCTCCAGCTGCTCTGCTCCGGCGGCGCAGGGTCCGGAGGCACGGGGGCTGCCCGAAGCCGGTAGCGCTGGCTCGGGCAGCTTGGCTCTTAAACAGCCGAAGTCTGAGTCCGGGGAGGAGCAGAGCAGCCGCGGGAGAGGAAGTGTCCGCCGGTATTTTTCCCGGACATGTTTGGCTTTTTGGCACTTTCGCACGGACAGGGGTTTGATTGCCGAAAAGCCGGACATGTCCGGGAAAAACCGGACGTATGGTAACCCTATATTATTGCCCTGAGGCATGGCTAATTTTACTTCCCTTTTGAGTCAAATGGGTGCAGTTGGAGGCTTTCCAAGACTAACCATCACTTGGTTGCTGCGTCTCTCTACCCTTTTCTACAAGGTTAATGTATTTGCCACCAGAACTCTCATTTAGTGTCACATCAGTTCTGTTGCTGATATTCCCTCTCCAAGGAACTGTATCCTACACTGGCAAGGAGATGAACTCAGTGAGCACTATAATATATTCCAACTAACTCACATTGCCTCTCCTATGCCCTGCTTTTTTTTCACCCTTATATGGGAATGGAGGTTGGGTATAAGATGCTCCTTTCTTTTCAACTTTCACTCTCCAAATAGAGAATATGAGGTTATACTGACCCTCAAATTCCCTGATCTTGATTTGCATATAGCTAAAGATCAAACCCTGAATGTCTTAGCTTTTTTGTTGTTTGTTTATTTGTTCCTTGTACTAGCTCAATTGAGACTGTTCATTGTTAGGAGCTGAGAAGCACACAGCTGCTGCTGGGTATGCGCCAATCCTAAAAGAGGAAGTGTGTGCTTTAAACTATAGTGTAAACAATAACACTTCTGGGAAGCAGTCATTCCCATTTGCTGCAGGTGAATCATACTGCACTAGCTAGATGACTGGTGAATCACTGGAGTATTTGACATGTCAAAGTGGTAGAAAATGATCTACCAAAGGTTTGATCCCTGGAGAATGTTTCCTGCTGAAGAAATTTGGGGGAACTGTATTTTTTTTTCTCTCTTCAGCAAAATGGGTGGATGGAGATAAAAAGAGATAATCCCATTGGAAGAAAGAAAGAAAGAAAATGGGGTTCGGTGATTGGAAGCAGTTGCCTTTCTGTCCTAAGCTGCCTCTCAGCACAGCTGTATGAGTTGTGATTAGCTGGCAGGAAGGGAGAAGCAGCTTAAGAGAGAGGATGTGGTTAGTCTGCAAGATAGCATGCCCATATCAGATGTAAAAAATGAAAGTTGTAAAATGCAACTTATCTGCCCCGCTAGTCCTTGGAACACTACTGAAGGGCTCTGGGACAGAAATGTACTTGTCTGTCTTAGTATCTGACTTTCTACAGAAGTAAGTTTCAGCCCAATATTGTTGTGTGGTTGGTGCTAAGAACATCTGGTGAGAAGGCCTTCCATTTGCAGACTGATTGTATTCTCAGCCTTAGTAGTCGTAAAACATGATATGGCTTTCAATGCAGCAAGAGCAGTAACGTCCTCATAAAAATCCTATTTATGCTTGAATTTGAACAAGGTATTAGTGATTTAAAAGGTGTACGTTAGAAGCATTCCGAGATTACTGGTCTTCTACTGGACCTAACCTTGTTTGCTTACAATTTTCAATACTAATACACCTCTACCTCGATATAACGCTATCCTCGGGAGCCAAAAAATCTTACCGCGTTATAGGTGAAACCGCGTTATATCAAACTTGTTTTGATCCACCAGAGTGCGCAGCCCCGCCCCCCCAGAGTGCTGATTACCGTGTTATATCCGAATTCATGTTATATCGGGTCATGTTATATCAGGGTAGAGGCGTAGTATCCCTTTTTCATTTGATTTTTTTCTTCCCTCAAAAGTATCATTGAGTTGAAAGGTGCAAGTGAATGAGTCTGGCACTGGGAATTTGGTCTGTCCCAAACTTGCATGCTTTGACACAGAGGGTCTTTGAAACTTGTTCCCCCATGTGTCCCATAATTATACAGATATAATTCATGGGTCAGCATGTGTGCCACACCTCCCCGGGGCACAGCCTCGAGGGATGGAGGCTTTAAGTCACCTTTGAGCTTTACTAACTCTGGGCTGCTGCAGGAGCTGCAGTGGCGGCTGGACCCAATTGTACATGCCTCAGCAAGTAGGAATAGGACTACTTGCTGAATGTGGTACTACTCAGTGTGTGACTGGGAGATAGGATCAGGTCCTGTGCTTGTGGACTAGAGCCTTATATTGAAAAGCATCTTGGGACAGACAGCTTGTCTAATTTTCCATTACAAAGTGGCATGCATAACAAGGATGCTAAATAAATACTAATAATGTATAGTTGGTTTTATTTTTGTATTTTTATTATAATAACCAATAAGAATATAGAATAGAATATAGAATCATAGAATATCAGGGTTGGAAGGTACCTCAGGAAGTCATCTAGTCCAACCCCCTGCTCAAAGCAGGACCAATCGCCAACTAAATCATCCCAGCCAGGGCTTCGTCAAGCCTGACCTTAAAAACCTCTGAGGAAGGAGATTCCACCACCTCCCTAGGTAACCCATTCCAGTGCTTCACCACCCTCCTAGTGAAAAAGATTTTCCTAATATCCAACCTAAACCTCCCCCACTGCAACTTGAGACCATTACTCTTGTTCTGTCATCTGGTACCACTGAGAACAGTCTAGATCCATCCTCTTTGGAACCCCCTTCCAGGTAGTTGAAAGCAGCTATCAAATCCCCCCTCATCCTTCTCTTCTGCAGACTAAACAATCCCAGTTCCCTCAGCCTCTCTTCATAAGTCATGTGCTCCAGCCCTCTAATAATTTTTGTTGGCCTCTGCTGGACTCTTTCCAATTTTTCCACATCATTGTAGTGTGGGGCCCAAAATTGGACACAGTACTCCAGATGAGGCCTCACCAATGTTGAATAGAGGGGAATGATCACATCCCTCGACCTGCTGGCAATGCCCCTACTTATAAAACCCAAAATGTCGTTAGCCTTCTTGGCAACAAGAGCACACTGTTGACTCATATCCAGCTTTTCATCCACTGTAACCCCTAGGTCCTTTTCTGCAGAACTGCTGCCTAACCACTCGGCCCCTAGTCTGTAGCAGTGCATGGGATTTTTCCGTCCTAAGTGCAGGACTCTGCACTTGTCCTTGTTGAACCTCATCAGATTTCTTTTGGCCCAATCCTCTAATTTGTCTAGGTCCCTCTGTATCCTATCCCTACCCTCCAGCATATCTATCACTCCTCCCCACCCAAACTTGCTGAGGGTGCAATCCAAGCAGGGCCGGCTCCAGGTACCAGTGCAGGAAGCAGGTGCTTGGGGCGGCCAAGGGGAAGGGGCGGCACGTCCGGCTCTTCGGCGGCAATTCGGCGGCAGGTCCCTCGGTCCCTCTCGGAGGGAAGGACCTGCCGCCGAAGTAGAAAGCGGCGTGGTGGAGCTGCCGCCGAAGTGCCGCCGATTGCGATCGCGGCTTCCCCCTGCCCCACACCGCTTGGGGCGACAAAAACCCTGGAGCCGGCCCTGAATCCACGCCATCCTCCAGATCATTAATGAAGATATTGAACAAAACCGGCTGCAGGATCGACCCTTGGGGCACTCCACTTGAGACCAGCTGCCAACTAGACATGGAGCCATTGATCACTGCCCGTTGAGCCCGACGATCTAGCCAGCTTTCTATCCACCTTTAGTCCATTCATCCAGCCCATACTTCTTTAACTTGCCGGCAAGAATACTGTGGGAGACCCTAACAAAAGCTTTGCTAAAGTCAAGGAATAACACGTCCACTGCTTTCCCCTCATCCACAGAGCTATCTCATCATAGAAGGCAATTAGGTTAGTCAGGCATAACTTGCCTTTAGTGAATCCATGCTGACTGTTCCTAATCACTTTCCTCTCCTCTAGGTGCATCAGAATTGATTCCTTGAGGACCAGCTCCATGGTTTTTCCAGGGACTGAGGTAATGCTGACTGGCGTGTAGTTCCCCAGATCCTCCTCCTTCCCTTTTTTAAAGATGGGCACTACATTAGCCTTTTTCCAGTCATCCAGGACCTTCCCCGATCACCATGAGTTTTCAAAGATAATGGCCAATGGCTCTGCAATCACATCCGCTAACTCCTTTAGCACCCTCAGATGCAGCGCATCCAGCCCCATGGACTTGTGC